GCTCAGCAATGATGGATGGACTCATTAGTGCTGCAGTTATCGCCATCTGAACCTGGTGCCAAGACATATGGTTTAACAGATGTTCTAGCAAAAAGCTCTATACTCTGCACTGTTTGAGTGTCCAGTTAAATCGGACATTGATAAGACACTGGAAATCGTATTGGAGTTCTGGGAACCACAATTGCTCCCAGCTCAGGAAGCCGTTAAACACAGCCCGATTATGCAAAAAATCCTGTTGCTCTGATATCCCAATTAGATCAGCAGAACAAATGCTGGACAACACATACACTGCTCTCCACAGCCTTGGTGTACCTAAATGTTATTTAACCTATCCAGTCAATTCTATTTCTCTGTTATTGTAGTAAAGAAATGAAGCTCAAATCCATGGAAGCTTTCTCCAAACAGAAATCTCCAAATCAAACAGGCAAACAGAGCCCCAACCCCACTCTTGTATTTTCATATTTAGAATGCTCTGTGAGCATTATTCTTTCAAACATTTAATATATAACACGTATCCATTCTGAGCACAGGATTAACATACAGAAGGAACTTGTTTGCAAGCCTGTTTACTGACGTTACTCCACTGGAGTGTATGGCATTTCACAGGGAAATAAATAGAATTAAAAGGGGGTCCTTTCTATACTAATTCAGCAAATAAATGTGCATGAAGCAGTAAGGTGCATCAAATATTAAAAAAAGAAAGAATCCTTATTCTTTAAATGTCTTTTCAAAGAAAGACAATTCATAGGCTTTGGAAAAAAAGAAAATCAGCAGTAAGTGGGCCAGAACTGATTAATTATGATGTCTATGCACACTATATTCATTTCTTTAAGATTACACGCACACTTATGTTCATCTCCTACAGGAAAGCATTTTTCAGCAAGAACTTCTGTTATCTCCTGAAGCTTGTAAGTCAGAAAATACCAATGCATAAGAGGTGGAAAAACTAGGTTACCACCCTGGATTTGTGGTCTCCTATCACACAACCCAACTGCTTCAGTGTGTGTAGTGGCACCAACGGCTGGTGGTGTGTGATATTTTGCAGAGGAAAATTTAAGAGGAGGGAGAAAATACTGAGGAACTCCCTCTCCCTCCCCCCACTACATTCTGAAGGGTTTGGCAGGCAAAAAAGATACTACACATCAAGACTGAACGTATTTCAGGAACAACATCAATGTTGTTTCACATTTAAACAAAAACTAAAGACTTTGAAACTTTCAGAATTTGCTAATAATTGCAGGTCATAAAGAGAATCCTTCAGCTCTCAACCATAAAAGATTTGACAGTAGATTAGGTTGAAAAAGTTAAGAACAAAAGAACTTCAGCTGCATTCTGTCCTGCTTCCATACCTACTATTCACACTGTCACAAAAGGTGTGTTTCAGACCATCTTGTTCAACCAGTTAAATCTCTTGATCTGCTCAAATATTTGTTCCATATTAATGCAGCTGCAACTTTTAAAAACTTCTGTTATCTTTACTGCTTATCTTTCAATGACAGAACTATGTCTGCCCCAGATCTTGGTCCACTGGGGCTGCAAAATACAGTGGTTGGAGGGAAGGGATATCAAAGGGGACAAGAGACCAGATACAATCTAAAAACAAACAAACAAGAGCAGAATCTGCAGCCATGAAAGTCAGAAGTTCAATTCAATGTTAATCCCTATTTGTCTGAAATGTTTACAGACATACATTTATAGAAAATGGAGTTGATGGAAATACTGTCATTACAGCGGTAAACACAAGAAACTGTGTATTGAAATGCGTCTATTTTTATTAATTTTTATTTTAAGGCATATAAAGCTATGTGCACTTAATTATATATACACTCGGAAAAACATAAGCATGGAAATGTGAACGCACATAGCTCACTTAGCATATGATCAGGGTTCTTCCCCAATAACTATAACAATATTGAACTTTACATAAGACACTACAGGGAGACATACTACCAAGATCCCCACTTTCATTTCAGGTTGTTAAAATTTTTCCCTCTTCCCTGCTTCTAACCAAACATCCTAATCTTTTTCTACCTGCTGGCATTATTTATATAGGTAATTTAGACATGAATCAAGCTGGGGAAAAAGACACAAAAAAATCAAAAAAACCAAGCAAACAAAAAAAGAAATCCAACCAAACAAAAAAAACACACCAAAACAGAGTCCTCCCCACCCCCAACAATAACAAAAACCCAATAACAGTCAATGTCTTTTTCAGTCAGATCACTTTCCTGAACTGACTGACTGGCAAACTGCAAAAGGTCCAGAGTCAGTGCAGAGAGGGATCAAGAAGGTGAAGCCAAGGTCGTGACAGTTCAGACTGAGCCCAGCTGAAGCAGCTGTGGGATTGCAGGACTTTGAACACAGAGCAGGGTGACTGCTATTTTTTTTCATGTGCTGCTCAATTTACTTTAATTCTTTTCAAAACAGGGGGCTGGGAGAGACAGAGAGCACTGGTATAGAGTCTTTAACGAAATCTCTCTTGCACATCTTTACTGTTTCAGTGTAAGCAAATGAGATCTTAGATCCCTGCAGATACAAAAAGCCTAGTGTCCCAGATTGGACCTCGGAACTTTCCCTGCCAAAGAATGTCTTTTAATAGCAAATTCTTTACTGGTTTGCTTTTGGGTTTGTTTTGTTTTTTTTTTTCCTCCTCACGGAAATAGTTTTTCTCTTTCAATAAGGACATAACCTAAAGCTATTTTCTCTAACACAATGTGCTTGGAGAGTGTCTTTTCCCCCTCCATCGTCCATTTATTTTTCATTTTTGTACATTTTTTTCCAATGGCCTTTCTCATTATGAAAAAAATACATTCCTGGAATGTTTCAGCTCAACGCTCTCAAAAACAATTACTTAGGCATTTGATTTGATCTGCTAGTTTTTCCTTTCAGGGTATTCGGGCTTTATGAATTTCTGGTTTGGTCAAAGGTTAAACCGAACCTTTTCCAAGTTACGCTCCAGTGCCTCATGAGGTCCATATATGTCCACCTGAGGTTTTAAGAAAAAGGAGGAAATTCACTATTAGCTGTGCACAACAGCAGTGACTTCGAGTGTAATCTAAGGAAGATAATCCAGAAAGGGAAGGCTGCTGATTCACGCTTATATTGGATTGAGGGGTGGAATGATGAGTGATGAAGAAAAAAAATAGTCACCTTTAAACTGGTGAAAATTTGCCACTGTTTATGGAAAAACAGGAAGTGGAACAGAATCTCAAGTAGCAAGTATCTTCAAGAGTATCAGGGTACCTCACAAGCACAAGCAAGCAGAGTTATAACCTGTAAAGGACCTTATTTTTTGCACTGTGAGACATTACCACATCTGTGGTCCACAAACACACATACAAGAAAAAACAAACGATCCATGAAGCATATGGAGGGACAAAACATATGTTTTCTGAGTTGACCTGGCTGCTAACTGGGCTTCTCAGGGGACTCAAAGTTAGAAAGGATAATCTGTCAGAGTTATGACTCCAAGGAGTGAGCGATAGGGAAGATTTCCAGCTGGCTGTCTCTATCGGGTCTTTCTGATCAACAATCAACTGAAAATGGTGCTTCGCAGGTTTGCTGGAATGCTCCTATGGCTATTGTTCTGCCTTGGATACAGCAAAATCCAGCTCAGTTTCATTTTGTGTGCTCAGTGTGCTTTTTTGGCAAGTCTCGGAAATCAACTCCTTTTTGTCAATGAATGCATTCTATGTTTACTCAGTTCAAACAAATTATTGCTCCAAGACACAGAGTACAAATCATTCCTACTGCTATGATACCTTTTAACTAAATCCAATGCAGTTACTGCTATACTTGTGTTACTTCTTTAATTTTGCAGTATATTTGTCTAATAATACATTTTGCATATCAGATTTTTAATAACCTAATAAAAATATCTTTAAAATTTTTAACTTATCACATGCCTATATGCAACAGTTAGTCAAGGTTTGTCAGCTCCACTATTAATTAAAAAATAAGCAGATTGAAGTAGCTGGTTATAGTTCACTTCAAACTACAATACTTGACAAAAAATAAATGTTTTGAAGTTCTGACTGTAATTAATTTAAAAGTACATTTTCCCAAAAAGTACTTCAGAACTTTACAGTTCTGAAAATATACAGAAATACACATTTAAAAAAAAAAAAGTTTTAGAGAATATATTTAGAAACCTTTCTAAAGGAATGTTGGTGCTTAAGGTTTACATATAAAGAATGCACACAAAGGTACACATACAACTAAAGTGATTTTTTTAATCCTTACTAAGTGTTAAAATATAATTTTTTAAAGAGCAATTGGAAACTTTGTTATCTTCCTACTTAACCAGTGGTCTGAACTGTAAGTAACCCCATCCCCAGGCTACAAAGGAAAGTGGCTATTTTGGAGGGACAATCATATTAATTTCTTCTTTTTCTTCTTTTATACTAAGAAGGATTTTTTTCTGGTTTTAGTCATCTCTTAAATTCTGAGATGCATACTACTCAGAATTACACATAGGTAAAAGTTCAAGTTCCTCCTACTATGGAGACAGAGAAAAAGAACATGTAGCAGTCCTTTTATGCTGTTCCATTAAATATGCTGCTGAGCAAAATGGATATGCACACAGAAGTACAGCCATGTCCCTCCAGCCACCTGCTCAGACAGGTAATTTACATGATAAAATAACCCTCAAAATTCACGACAGCTGTGTTACATCTGTGTCATACTAGATCCCAAATGTCAATTATCTGCATTGAATGATAATAAATTTTGACACAGAGAGTTGATTTACAAGGAGAGAAGGCCCACAATACCTTTAAGGGCCAACTTTACCCCAGCATCAACACCAGTTTTTCTAATTTTTAATGCAAGCTTTTTAGAATTAAAAAATTGATTAAAGTTTCTCCATTTAACAGAGATAAAATTGCATTTAAATGACATACTTTACATGTAGAAGAAAAAAAGGCTTAGGAACTCAAACATTTCATCTCCAGAAAGTAGCTTGTCCTCTAGCCAAATAGACTTGCACGAGTTAGCCTTACCTGGAGCCATAACTTGTTATTCACTGCATCTCTCCCTGTAGCAATGCATTGAAATGTAGCATTCTGCCCTGCATTGACCTCTACATCCCCCAACCTCAAAAAATGTGGAGATTTATCTGCAGAGGGAGAAAACAAAAATTACAAATAAGACTTATTACAAAAAATAAAGGTGCCAGCAACATTATTATCTCCCTTAACATCCATATTTTCATAAACTTTGGCTAAAAAAGAGAAACAGAAGAGAGAAAATTATTTCTTTCATCTCTCATTTGTTCGAGGAGTGCTTTCAGTCCTTTCCCTTCTCCCCTGGTGAATCTACTAACTTCACGTTATACATGGGTTATAATAAAGTCTTTTTAAAATCAAAGCCAAAAGAAGGAGAACAAATGCCAAAATGTCAGCAGCACTTTACAAAAATTATCCCAAAGACTGTATGAAATCCATCATACTGAGAAAAACCCAATTAGCAGCATACTGCTCAAGCAAATAGAGAGATACCATTCACTTATTTGCAATGCAACTCGGAGCTCTTGTTTTAGAAAAGGAAATCATTCATGCCATTGAATGTAGTATTTCAGAAGCTGACAAATCTATTTCCCACACTGACAAAGCCCCTAGGAAACCTCAGTGGCAAAATCACCTGAAGGATTTATTAAACTGAAGAAAGCCGACAGACACATTTGAGGAATGGGTACACTGCATAGCTTGCCCATCCCTCTCTCAAGACCTACTAAAGAAAACAGCAGCTGAACTGTTATTTCTTTGTGCTTACTAAAAAAAAAAAAAAAAAAAAAAAAAAAATCCCACAATACACAGGAAAATAAACCATTAAATTGGAACGAAGAGGGTTTAAACAGCAGTAACAAAAAAGAGCTTATCTGAATACTATAACATGCTGATAATCTGCTGGTATGACTGTACGTTTTGTTTTGGCACTTAAAAAAAACACATAGGAGTGGGGGAGAGAGGCAGAAAGAAAGGCAGATACCGAATCCAAGCAGAACTTTGCTGAGTAGTGACATCAGATAGCTGGGCTGGCTGAAATATAAAAAGGTAACTCACTCAAATACCCTGTAAGCTTGGTAGCCCCTGGGAGCTATGATTTTAAAAGGTTTGGGGTAGAAGAAAACAAGATTTGAGGTTGCCATTGCAACTTTATTATCTGACATTGTTTTGCAAAGTTGGGGCAGGGTATTGTGATATCTTGATCATTTCAGAAAGCAATTAAATTATCAGCCATGTGGTACATTACAATGAAATCACATTTTAGAACAGGCATGTCTAGGGGAAGATCAAAAGAGTTGAACAGAACCAAATTGCGAAAAAGAATTGATAACAAGTGTCAGAAATGCACAGTAACGATTTCTTCCTCACAACTTTTTATTTGTAGAAGATTCTCATTATCACAACTTGTGTTTGCATGTGTGTAATTATTCCCCAGGATTAAGAAGGAAAAGGCAAAAACAAATGTCTGAAGTCTGTCCACAAAAAAAAAATAAACAGAATGCAATCCCTCTGTAGTTCAATAGCCCTTTTACTTTCTTTTTTTTTTTTAAATCTATTGTGCCTGTTTAGAATAAAAAAAAAGAGAAAAAAAATGGCATGAAATCTGATAAACCTCCTACAAGCATCTGCCAATTCAGTTTTCTTTAACAGTGAGTACACATATTAACATTAAAACCCATTTTGATTATGCACACCAACTACAGTATGACTAAAAAGACACTGAAGAATTCCTGCTTTTTTATCCCTGTATAATTTACCTGTGGCAGAAAAAGATTTCACCCAGACAAATCACTATTGCAACACTACATTTCCTCCTGGAAGCTGCAACAAAAATACTATTGAAGGAAAAAAGAACATCAGTTTTCAAGTGATGAAAACTGAGCAGGCCACAACAATATCAAATATGTCCTGAAAAGACAGAGAAAAATGCAGCTCTTAATCATTACTTACCACAAGGGTAACTCAGGACCTGGATGTCATCAATGGCAATGTAGCCCTTTCTCCCATCTGAGACTTCGGCTTCAAATATTACCTGTCAAAATGAAAGAAAAAATGTTTACAACACTCATTTCTACAGAATTCCCCCCAGTGGCAAGCGTGTAGATATAAGACACATTGCCTTTTTCATTTAGTTGAAGTTCCTATCAGGTTTGACAACTGAATGGAATATTTATTACTCAATGTATTGCAGTTCCATACTATTCATATACATGACTTGCTTTGGATTTGCTTTTCATAGCACACCAGAAAAAAATATTTATTACTTCAATTAATGGCATACTGCTTTCACTCAGTTAAATGTACAAACACGATTCGATTCTAAAAAAAAATGCCATTACTTTGAAACAGGTTAGATATCAGCACACAACGGATCAACCAATTTTAACAAAATTTTATCATTCTTGTTGGGGGTCCCAATATAGTCCACAGTCTCCTGTAACCTTTTGCAGAGCAGTTGCACAGGGAAACATGCAGCAGCACAGAAATAGTGCGGCACTCCCCAGTGGCAACGAAAAGAACAGCTGTAGCATGAGATTTATGTAATAGTTGTTAACTTCATTCTTCATTCTGGCAAGATAATGTGGAAATTTCTGTGTATGAAAAAAAAGAGAAGACTATTTTCACATCCAGCATCTTGATCCACTTCAAATGGGCAGTAACAACAAAGAATTGCTCTTGGATGGCTCCAGAGACCAGAACTGGATTTTGCTACAGAAGTACCAAAACATTACCAACTGACAGAAATGACCACTTCAGTCTCAAGAGAGTCCTTGGAGCAAGCAGCTCCTGTTAACCTCCAGAGTTCCTTGTGGACCACTCATTCACAAAAATACCCTCTTCAGCAAGATACCTGAAATTTATGCAACTTGACTCTGTGCACTGCATCAGGTACACTTCCGTGTTCTTATGTTCCACTCACTGAATTTCCTCACCTTTACATCCCATCCAGATGTGAAGTGCAATTTGTCTCCCCACCACAGGAGGCAGGGATCCCAGGTGGTCTGTTTACACCCAGAGATAATTTCAAAACCTCAAACAGGGAAAAATAAGGAAAACTTCCAAGGAAAGGTGGCTATGGACATGTTAATGATGTGGTTCACAGCATTCCCAAACTTGTGCTTTGACTGCAGAAAGAGGAAGCCTTTGGGGCACATATATTTTGACAGCACTGGACTACAATCCTTTTCCAATTTCTCCAGAAGTTCCCCTGAAGACTGCATTTCTAACCCCTTTCTTTTTTTTCCTTTTTATTTTATTTGCACACAAACGCAATTAAGTTGCAAAACCCACTTTATTCTCTGCCTCTTCCTCCTGCTTTGGCCAACAACAGCTTGATGGAAATTAATTTAGTGCCTCAGGGTCCTACTTTCACAATGCCCCTTGTCCAGTGACCTCTCTGACCAAAGCACTATTTGACAGTGTCCACTCACTCCTCAGACATCTTCAGAGAGCTGGCACTTGTTCCCAGTAAGGAGTATCAATATTAATATTTATTAATCATATTTTTATTTAAATGGTTACATGATGTGGAAGACAACTCAGTAAGAAATAAACATTATATCTAAATCTCTTCTGGCAGACAAGTTTCTTTACAATACAATACAGTTCTATAACGTACACAAACTCCAAAAGCACATTGTTTCTCAAAGTCCAGTTAAGAAATTTGAGCATCAATGTTAAGAACTGGACTAAATTTACATCTCACTCTAACTGGGTTGTTAGTAATTTATTCGGAAGTAACTTAGATCCAGTTCCCAGGGAAGCTTGGCCTATGTAAGTGTGTCCTTCTCCTGTACATTGATACCTTCCCACACTGGGTGTCACAGAAGAGAAACTTACCTTTCCTGGAACACAGCTGGGAATTAATTTACTTGGGTTTTTCTACCTCTACAAGATTAATATAAGTAATCTCCACCTACCAAGAGTAGGAAATTATCAAAAAAGGAGAAATTCGCAGGAATTGATAAGATTAAATCAAGGAGATCCATGGGAAAAACAAACAAACAAACAAACAAACAAAATCCCACAACACAACAAAACAGAAAACATGAAGAAATATGGAAAGGCAAAGTCTATCAAAAGTTATAAGGTATAATGTTTACAAGATAAGGAAAAGAAAAATGCAATAATTAAAAAGACAGATATTAGAGAGCTGAGATTTCATGTACGCAGTACTAAATTATTATTATTTCCATTCATAATTGGTATAAATACAACCATGAAGCATTCATAATTATAGACACAATATAACAAAAGGTGCGGCTGAAAAAAATTATTATCAGGTTTTAATTTAATAACATCTGTTCACATTTAAAATTGGAAGTAGAAAAGGGGAATTGCATATATGGGTGAAAACTTATAAAAAGCAATTTTAAATGCTGACAAGTCAGACCAGAACCTGGGGTTGTTCTTTTCCTCAGATAAGCATACACTACTTGAGAAAAAACAGATTGTTGAGCTATTCCTTTCACCAGAGGAGGCTTATCCTAATAAGACACTAGTGCTTTGGGAGTGAATCCTGCACTTCATCTGCACTGCTGTTCAGTTTACAGTCCTAGAAAGAATGGCTTCAACACTTTCATTTTAGCTGAAAAATAATTCAGATTATCACTCTAGCCAGAAAACATTAGTTGTCTGTGCAACTATAAATGTCCTTCCACTTATTACAATTTAATTGCATGCTCATCTAGTGCACTTCTGAGAGATGCTCACTTCCTTTAACGGAAAGGAGAGAGAGAGAGATCGTTTCCACAGGATGAATTGGGCTGGCACAGAGCAGGGCTGTAGAGACAGCTATCCTGTCTCATTTGTACCAGCGTTGCCACAATGAATGAGAAAGGGAAACGCTGAATCATTCAGGTAGTTCAAATGCTACTCAAAGGAATTAGATTTGATCCCTGAATTTTCTACACAGTTCCAAGGTGATACTCAAATGTTATTTAATTCTCCAAATAAAATTGCATATGCATGTTTATGAAGTGCCTACATTCACATGCAAATGAAGATCTAGAGTCAGAATTCCCTGAACTGGATGTACTCCTACATATTTAGAGATTCCCAATGTATCTCTTGTCCATATATTGGGCCATTTTCTCCCTAAAACCATGCAAGCTTTTAGTGAACACAGTATCATTTGGAAAGATCCACGACAGCATTGAGACATTTCCATTTGTCTGGTTTGTACAGACTTCCTTCAATGACCTAAATCTGACAAACTGATCCCAGTCACCCTTCTATATTATTCACAACTTTGTAGACCTCTATTATACATCCCCAAGTAATTTTGCCTCAAATTTGAACAGTCCCAGATTGTTCAATCTCATATAAAAGCCATTTGATTATACTCATCCTTCTCTCTAAAGCTCTTTCTAACTGCACTATATTCTTTGAAGATAATGAGAGCAGAGCTGGCACACAGTAACCAAAATATGGGTGAGTCATAATTTATACAACAGCACAATATCGTTATCTAATTTATACTGACTTTTTTAACCATTCTTAACACTTCATTTCCTTTTTTTTTCACCATCACTGGGCTCTATGCTGACATTTTTATGAACCCCACAATGATTTTATGCAGTGTGCATTACTTTATATCTCATTATCTACACTAAAATGTGCCTGTTATTTTATTGCTCAATCACTCACAGTTGGAGATACTGTGATGGTCCTTCCACAGGACCTTACAATTACATACTGTCCTTGCTATTCCAAAGTAGTTTTCACCAACAAACTTGTCTTTGCACTGTTCTCTGGCAGCCACTCCGGTCCCATACGAACATGCTGAAGGGCATAAATTTCCATAGGATGCCTTGGTGACTACTTCAAGACATCTTGACAATTTATTTCTACTTTCTCTTTTTCCTCCTAAACAATTATGTATCTATGGAAGTATATCATAGAATGGCATCTTAGCTTCACTACAAGCTTGTATAGAGGGGCATTTGGAAACCTAACTAGACTCTATCAATCACATCACCCTTACCTATATGTTTGTCAACCCCTAAAGGACTCTAAGTTGAAAATTAGGTGGATGATGTGCAATATAGAATAAAATAAACAAAAATGAGAGATGTGATATATATATATATATATAGTCTCAGAATCCCATATCACAAAATTCTTCTCCCACCTCCTAACCTTCCTCATTGCTATACTAATATTAACCATCACCAACAATATATTCCTCATATATTATTCCTTATAATATTCCAATATTATTTATTGGCTGAGAAGGAGTCAGGATCATATCATTCCCTCTAACTGGATGATGACATGGCCAAGCAGAAGCCAATGCTGCTGTACTTCAACCCATACTCTACAACCATGTTGGAAATATTGGATTTATTCTCTGTATAGCATGACTAGCCTCCACAATAAATATCTGAGAAATTCAACAATCCTCCACAACCCAGACTCCGCTACTCCCCCTTCTAGGCCTCATTTTAGCTGCCACAGGAAAATCTGCTCGATTTGGCCTCCACCCATGACTACAGCTGCCATAGAAGATCCCACCCCACTAACTGCCCAACTTCACTCCAGCACCATAGTAGTAGCCAAAATTTTTTTACTCATCCACACTCACTCCATATTCTGTAACAACCAAACTGCCCTTACCTTATGCCTCTGCATAGGTGCCCTCTCCACACTATTCGCCACCACATGTCCCCTAACCCAAAACAATATCAAAACAATTATTGCCTTCTCCACATCAAGCCATCTAGGCCTAATGATAGTTACAGTTGGACTAAACCTCCCTCAACTATACTTTCTACATACCTCAACCCATGCATTCTTTAAAGTGATATTATTCCTTTGCTCTGGGTCTATCATCCATGTACTTTTCAGACCCCAGCTTTAAAATGTAGATGATGAAAATCACTATTCATCTAATATTTCAGAAATAAATGTTTTGAACAACTTAAGTACTCAACAGTATTTGAATGCAATAGGAGAAGTAGCAATTATTACAGGAGAGACTCCTACGCAGGTTTAGTTGTTAAGAAATACTCAAACCTTCACATTCCTTCA